ATTTGTGTGGAGTCCGCTCAAATCCTGGTGGCAGCCATGTTTGTTTTTATTATTAGAGAACGCTTACGCGCGTAATCATTCCATATTTGGAACTCGCATTTCCTAATATGGTAGTATGAAAATACCCCGTAAAATACCGCAAAATTACGGCACGCTGTAGCTTATGGCGTTACGGTGACAGATGTATAATAATGTATGTTAATTCATTGCATTTGAATTGCAGGTTAAACATAGTGCTAACAAAGCTCGTGAAAGTATTATTCAGAGAAGCTGACTTTGTATTGAGCTGTATTAGACACCCAAACTCCATGCAACTATACAAACTACACAAATTTACTGGATCGTCCACGTGCGCAACCAAGTACTTGTCTGAAATATGAACATCTGTTTTTTCTACCATCAAATGCTAAACAAATACTGTGATTCAACCTTTTGAAAATGTTGAAAATTAAAAGAAATTAAACAATATCACTTTTTGAACTTTAATTCAGAATTTTGATTTTTTACATGATAAATATAACTATATGCATAAAACTGTAATACTAACATGGATGGGCCATTGTGAAGTTAAAAGGTGATATCTGGCATCATATCTTGAATTTTTGCTCAAAAAATTAACAACACACCACAAGGATTCGATTTGAAAAATAATGAGTGTGATATTTAGAACTATAGCACAGTGGCGGCGGCACCGGGGCAGAGAGGGCTAAACAATGTAACAACACACCACAAGAATTCGATTTGGAAAAAAATATTGTTGTGTTTAAAACTTAGCACAGTGGCGGCGGCACTGGGAAACAGAGGAGGCGGTCGCCCATCCGAAAAAAAATGTTAGCTGAAACCCTTTGTGTCAGCAAAATTTGTCCATCAAAATGCAGAAAATAGCGTTTCACGGGCGAGATTTCAATCTCAACCCCTCATGCAAAATGTTGTGCCGCCGCCTCTGTTGCAGGAATCACTCTAGTATCTGCCCACGTTTTTTGTTAGTCGTTATATTTACAGTGACCCAAAGACCTACGACCCCGGGTCAACACTAGTCATAGTTATTTGTATAGTTAAGTGGAGTATGAAATATAATTTGTAAGTGGCCTGGCCGACTGACATCATCAGCAAATGCGTCATCCTTATTTTTTCAATTCCGTATAATTAAGTGTATGTACACCAGAAATCTTCAGCACAGATATTGACGCCATTGTTTTAAGATGTTTTGTTTGAATATGGCGACCCAGCTCACAAGTGGCTTTTTCATGCAATTATTGTATGAAAACAGTGATTTAAATTTTACAATCATTGATTACACTATAATTACAAGTTTCATTTACATATGTGTGCCTAATACAGGTATTGATGGAGTATCTACCTGCAGAAGCAGTTGTCATGCAATTACTGTGATTCAAGTCCGTTCTGTCATAAGTACCGTGCAACACGTAACATATTCTACTTCTAGAATCTGTTAAATACATTACCATTTCACGACAATCTGTTGAAACACAGACGTGTGGATGAAACGATTGTATAGACAATAAAATAGCGTGGAAAATATAAAATATGTAACGCTGCAAAAAAATACAAAATTATGAAAGAAATAATTGTGTTAGATTTGATTATATACATATCAATATGCACATCGCAGCATATGCGGAGATTGTTTTTATTCCAGAATGCGATATTATATTTTACTAGGGCAAATATGTTTTCCTCAAACAAATGTTATGGGATGAAATAAAATACAGTTTGTTATGTTATGTTGACGTCAAATTATTATCTTTAATTTGAAAAATAAATATGACGAAGCTGGACAATTTTACTGTCATCCAGGTCGCCATTTTGATTTTAGGGGTCAAGAGTCAGCAAATAAATAATAGTTAGTAAATAAAAATGGTAGTGTTTGCAAAATTTGAATAATAAATATGCATAAGATCTCAGACTTGGTTAATCGCTTAGCCACGTAGAACATATCAATATTTCAAGGCCGTGCTCACTTGAACGTTTGTAAGCGATTCGGAAATATAAGCAATGTCACTAATAATACATTAGTAAATGTTGTAGATATATAGAAACAAGTTTAAGTTAAATTTTTTTCAAATTTTCATATTTTTAGTAGATTTAGTGTATAGCTCTTTTGCAGTGAGTGTAGTATTTGTGGTTTGTTTGCAGAGTGTGGCGCAGTAACCTGTTCCCATGGAAATATTGCACACGTAATAAATACACGTCCTTTAGGCGTTTGGCCTATAATAATCATTATCCTTTAAAACGTTCTTTCCCACGGGTAAGTTATTTCCTTTACAACTGCAGGCTCGTTATTACATGATGGACTTTAAAGTGCACATGTTTTTTGTTTTTTTAGCAAAATTTATTCGGCATCCTACCTTGCGATGTGCGTGTATGTCTGTGATTTGACGAGGTTACCAAAACAAGTAAAGCCCATGCATGGTACCTGCGCGCTCACTGCGTGTGATCACTGACAACTCGACCTGACCAATGAAAACACAAAACAAATAATCGCGGACAATATATGCTGAAGCGTACAATGTACGAGAACCTAAACTCCGGTGTGTTTTTTTAATAACATAATTGTACATCATTTTTTGAAGACACTAAAAATGAAAGGTCGGCTAAATTACCTCTTTCGCTTTCACGTCTAGTTCCCACCAGTCTCTTTCACTGACAAAAATTCGCTTTAAAGACTGGTCGTCATCTGCGCACTGGCACACGCTTGCTTGCAGACAACGACACTATGGTCGTCTTCCGCATGCGTATATGACGACTCCCCCGCCTTAACTTGTAGGTGTTGAGAAAGATCATTTCTCTTTAAGGCGGACGTGTCATCACCTTCGCGTGCACTGGCCATAGCGTGTCATTGTTTACAAACAAGCGTTCACCCGTGAGCCTTTGCGTTTTAAGCACGCGTTTTTATCGCTGGTTGGGACTCAATTCCCGCGCGTGCGCAGGTGACGACCCCTCCGCTTTAACACAACCTAAACCACAGCACTGAATACTCCACATACATTCTACTAAACATGCTATTAAGAGCAATATGTACAACACTATAACTATAATAACACAAATAATAGAGATTTAACTGAGTTATTTAAATCGCATTCATGCAGAACGCAGGGCTCTAGAATTTTAGTTCAGCGTTAACTGATTTTATTCACCAATGACCCCCTTTTTGACACAAAGAATCGCATGAAGCCCAAATTGATGGATCAAGTCTGTTTTCTTATAAACGCAGGTGATCTTGTTACTTTCTCTGAAAAAAAGAGTTTGGCTTATAAAGCAGTTTGGACAATTTCTGAAAATACACAAAACAGTTATCTCCAGTAAGCACAGAAATAAATAAATTTTACTTTTAGTATACTCTCTAGCAACCGTTTCTATTTGGAAGAAACCGATTTAACTGTTGCTAGGGAAGTATGTGTCTTATTAAGCTTGAACAGATACTCTGTAAATGACAAGACAAACCTGCAGAGGGTAAAAGATATAAGTGGTTATGTTCACAAAATCACTCATCCGATTTGAAAGAATTTTTAAAGTGTGTGTATGTGTGCGCGCGCGCGTGAGTTTGTATGTGTTCCACTGCGCATGTCTCCAATGAAAATACAAAATGGCGGATAGAGCTGACGTTGATTCAATTTATATGGTTTCGAATCAAGTAAAACACGAGCTTTTGGAATAACAAAAGAATCAATACTATATTACTCACATCTATTGAACACTGTCGTACACACAGCTGCCGCCCAACATTCTGTTGTAAACATTTGTCAGACTAGACAATACACATTTAAACTACTAATGGTAACATCTGGTGTATTTATTCATAAAATGAAGTACAATTAACGAAGTGTATGTACCATTAAAAATAACTATCATATCACAAACATGTGTGATTACAAGTTTATTACGAACATATAAACTAGCTACAGGGGAGTGGAACGTGCGACCCTGGCAAAGCGCCTCGCCACTGTAAGCAGACGCGTACCTCAGTAAGCCACACTTACTGTTGCAGAAAGATGGTTCGAAATATCGTGTAACGAACGTAGTCCAGGAGAAACTAGAAGGATGGTGAGTAACATGCAACGGAACTCGGATGTGACTTGACTTGCAACGTAACAAATTATTTTAATCAACTCGCATGTTCCAGAATTTAAACCTGGAACACGATCCTAGTTAGTACGAGCCTCGTATGCAACTTGATCTGTAACTTTCAAGTGGATTAGCATTGCATACGCCAATATAAACTGATTGCAGTTCGATATTCCGAAGGTATATATATATATATATATATTATAGATACATTTCTAACGTATATACAAATTGGAGGAAGACTTACAGGTTTACCAGGCTACGTTCATTAAATAATAAAAATATAAATAAAAACATATTATTATGCATATTGATGACGACACATCCTTAAGCCTATAGACATAATCTTCCAGATTCTTAGAGAAAAATTAAACAAAATGAGTATTGAATAACAAATCAGAAACGAAACAATGCTGAAGAATCAATCCAAGAGTCTCTGTCTCCATGGCAACCAATCCACATCGCCATTATATTGGTCATCAACTTCTTACTAATCATGAAATTTGTCAAAATTTTTTTTTAATAGTTATCAGTGAATAACAATCATGAAAGTAGACGTAGATTTTTCTTTTGTTCTTGGATGAGATGATTCTTGCTGAAAATAACAGTGTCAGAATTACTGAGTGATTTCGCATCTGTTGGTGCTACATGCTGAATAATGGATCTCGAAAAAAAGTACAGATAAACCACGAGACTACTTATATTGCTCTTAACCAAGATGCAAATTGTGTTCACATCGATATCAGTTTTGAACTGCTAACTGTATCCACATTTATAGTTCTTACTTCGCAATGTAAAATAAACATACATTGCCGTCATTCACAGTTAATAGTATACTAGTACTACGGAGTTACTAGTATATACTAGTAGTTACCTCCGTGAATATTATGAATTTGATGAGTAATATAAATAAATACCATGTTTTTGGCTATTGTTTTTTTTTTTTGCAGTGCTGTTGTTAGTTTTATTAATTGTAATGTCATTTTCATCTCTAAGAAATAGGTTAACAAGAATCAATGATGGGAGCAAGAGTCTTAAATGGTGACATAAGTAGTGCCAACACAATTTGTCATCCTTGGTTCTGAAAATGAATTTAATATACATACATACATACACACAAACACACAGACTGGCGACAGTAACCATAGCTCTTCTCTTACATGTACTGACAGTGGGGTGTTGTATTAT